CTTTGTTATTTCTAGTGGTGTTAGTTTATGACTTTATGTAAAGAAAATGATGTTTTATATCCTAGACATTGGTTGAGTTGTAGGAATTTTTTACAACCATTAAGCAGCATTTATTTTCCAATTAGATTTTAGGTGTTTTAAGTGGTAAACCCCTCTTTAATTTGGCCAAATGAACATCTAAATGCAAAAATTTAAGTTTTTTTTTGTTTTTTTTGGATCTAAATGTTAAGAAATTCTTTTTCATGTTCATGGTCATCCCTTTGAGTAAATGCATTTTTCTCACACACACACAAAATACACAAAGTATATGATTAGTAAATCACTGATTACTAAATAATGTAATACGTTTTTTTGCTTGAAGCAACAGAAATTCGATGGCTCCATTAGCAGGAGCAAAACATAAGCTTATCTTTGTTTTATTTACCCTAAAAAAATCTATGCAATCGTTTATGTTTGTTTTGTTAATCATAATTTTTGTTTGATACATTTGCAGATAATGATCTAGGGAAGTTAAAACCCATACTCGGTACCACCTCATTGCAACCGTTGATCTTCGTTCCTCATTCATTTTACATAAACCTAAGTTTTGCTTGTTTCTTTTTGCAGGAGCCTCATTAGCTTTAGTTGTGTTAATCATTATTGTTGCGATTGCGGTAATTGTGAGAGCAAATGCGATAAGGAAGAAGGATTCGAGCGACGAGAAAATTGAAGCTATTGTAATGTTAAAAAGATATAGTTTTGAAAAAGTGAAGAAGATGACAAATTCTTTTGATCATGTTCTAGGGGAAGGAGGATTTGGAACTGTCTATAAAGGAAAATTACCCGATGCAAGCGGCCGAGATATCGCATTGAAGATCTTGAAGGATTCAAAGGGGAATGTAGAAGATTCATCAATGAGTAGAGCATCTCACGTTAATATAGTTTCTTTGTTTGGNTTTTGTGATGAAGGGAGCAACAGGGCTATAATTTACGAGTTCATGCCGAATGGATCCCTCGACAAGTTTATTTCCGAGAATATGTCAAAGAAGATGGANTGGAAAATTTTATACAACATCGCGGTAGGTGTAGCTCGTGGGTTAGAGTACATGCACAATAGTTGTGCATCAAGGATTGTGCATTTCGATATAAAGCCAATAAATATACTCATGGATGAGGAGTTTTGCCCCAAGATTTCNGATTTCGGTCTAGCTAAGCTTTGCAAGAAAAAAGACAGTATCATATCAATGCTAGACGCGAGAGGAACCGTAGGTTACATTGCTCCTGAAGTGTTTTCCAAGAGCTATGGATGAGTTTCGCATAAATCGGATGTGTATAGTTATGGAATGGTAGTTCTTGACTTGATAGGGGCAAAGAACAGAGAAAGAGCTGAAACTTCCAAGTCTAATACAAATACAATGTACTTTCCAGATTGGATCTATGAGGATCTTGAGAAGAAAGAAGCCATGAGACTTGTAGAAGATCATATAATC